TCAACGATTCGTACACCTCAACGTCAAGTTTTGTGTTTCTTGAAAAATATTTTCATTTTTTTAAGGAATACGGATAATGTGAGTGAGTAGTCTGTTGCTAAATACTACATAAACTTATTTAGGCGATAAAATTTTCATCGACTGGCTTGTTTACTGTGCACTGCACTAATTAGAAAGAGATAAATCATTTCATGTACGTTTCTTCAACTCAGTAAGCACTGTCATGAAACAGAAATGATTCATTAGATAAAATGAATTTTCATGCTGCTTTGCATAAAATATTTCGCTAATCTAATTTCTTTTATTTTGAACTGGTACAAATTTTATCATGTGACACTCAAGGTCACGTAAATTCGAATATTGATAGAAGATGGATAACTAAGAACACTTCAGTGGGAGAGTAAGTCAGGAATGAATATACTTCACTCGTAGACGTCAGTATAAAAACATGATATTGGAAACTGAAATGTAGTTCCGAGATGAGATTAATGTTACAATAGTTGGATCAACCCCTGTTATATGTTGGAATTCTTGTTTGGAGATTGAATTAAACGTCCACATTTGTCTTCTGTATTCTGTATTGATTAAACTGGATGAGGGCTGGGGGGGGGCGGTGGAAGCCGGGCGCTTGTAGTGGTTCTTCAACCGACAGTTTCGCAACGGCAGTTTTCTTATCCTGTCTCTTGCTCTTCTCCTAGCAGATCCATTCATGCTGGACGTGGTCAATAAATCACGGACAGGAAGCACCTCCATCCTACACTGGTGTGACGAGCAGCAGGACAGGTTCATTTTCCAATCAGTCCTGCATAACTGAAGACTATCAGGAAGGACATGGTTACATAACCATGGCATACATATCAGACCGACCAAGGTGCAGATATCAAGTAGCGACTTAGCCCCTCGATCACTACAAAAGCTGGGCTACCAGTAATCTTTTCCTTCTAACATAAGGACCGTTCTTTTCTATACCAGGCATAACCAAGCGTGCCGTAGAGATCTAGCACGTATCCCTAGTGTTTGTCAATAATGATTTTAGAGGGAAAGCTTCTTCATTAGATACAGCGTTTCATGGATTATATA